GACTTGGAGCTGAGCTAGCCATCCTCCACAACTAAGATTGAAAGACAACAACTTGGCTGTTCCCCTTCCCCAATTCCCCAAGACTGTTCCCCTTCCCCAATTCCCCAATAAAATATTTAAAAAACAAAACAAAAACATAAACAAAAAATATTAGCTGACTAGATATACCCCATCCAGGCTGATAAATTTAGAAACATTTCACCTATCCTAGGTCTATCAACATCACAGATCACCAAGCTAGATAAGAGATCCTCAAAATCACCAAATTGCTAATGCAACACAAAAACTCTGAATTAAAGGATGAACTTACTAAAACCCATAGAATATCCCTGGAGCCCTGACACCATCACCAAAGCTGCCCCTTCTCTTAGCTGCTAGAGCTCGCTTCCAAGCTCACAAACCAAAAATAAAGTTGACCTTTACATGTGTGTGGGTGTAAAAGATGAGATTTGTTAGAAATCAAAATTCTGTGCTGTGGGTGGCCTGACTTGGACCTAAATGTTCATTATGACTCTTATTTTGACACACCTAGGACCGTCATTACTGCCAGCCACATGGTGAATTGCACTCTGTAACCTTAACAGGATCACTTGTTCCATTCCCACCTAGGCTATAAACTCCCAAAGGGTAGGCTCTGCACAAAAGGTGTTGTGTTGACAGTACTATCTAGAACAAATGAGGAGCCTCCTAGTCTAGTCACTCAGTACATATCTGCTGAATCAATGACTGAGTGATAAGAAGAATTCAAGGAAATAAAGGAACAAAGAACAAGAGGCAAATGGCCAGGCAAAATGTTATCAGTGTGAGAGGGAATTGTCATGTGTCCTTCTCCAGATTATCTGGTTCTCAAAAGAGCATCAAAGAACAGACCCTTAGTCATCTAATGATTTTAAAGATGAAAGGGGAATTGTTTCTCCATACCTTTAATCAAAGCACCTTGATCATATTTGGCATTTAACCAGTAAATTAAAGAATGCAAGCTTCTTGGTGGACAAGTTTAGATCCTTTTTTTTCTTTTGAAAGGACTGAGTGGTAAACAAACAAAAAAGAAACAGTTTGAGAATAAAATTCTATCAGGCATTCCCCATCAGCCTGGGGGTTTAAAAAGATGTCCATGGCCATAATTCTAGGATTATTAAAACTGAAGTGTCTGTGAGTACCCAAGTAAGACTCAAACTCAAATCCCTTTCTTTTTCTTCTTTCCATATGCCTAGGATATCACACTGACCTACTCTACAGGACTATCATAGGATTAATCGGCTTAAAAATGCTAAGCACATCAAGAAAGAAAGCTTATAATATGTATATGTAGTTAGCCACTTTTACAATTCACAAATGAACTTAGTCTCTTGTGTCACAATGCAAACCACTGTTAATTACTTAAAATACTGCAAATTTTTTAAAGTCACAAATAATACCTCACAATAAAGAATATGTTCACTAATAAGTAAGTATATAGAGTGCCAAAAAATAATGTATACACATTTTAAGAAAAAAAACTATTAAAATTGTAATACTCAATATATACTGATAACAAAAGATGAATACAAGTCATGTGTATACATTTTTTTGGCACCCCCGGTATTTTCTAAAACATTTAAATATCTTTAAAGAACATAGGCTGAGTATACCATAGACAGAAATAAGTAACTTTTGATTAACCATACCAGGAAATAAAATTACTAGATAACATTTGCTGTTGATCCCTAGGTTCTGGACCAGAAAGCTGCCCACTCACTACCATTATCATCATCAGACAGGGTGTGCAGCCTCCCAGACCACCTGCCGTTCCTAATGAGGAAGGGATGTGACCTCTAACAAGCGCAATGTTAAGATCTGAATATTTTCCTATGGCACCTTCTGCCTTTTATATCAGTTATGCCCATGGAAACAAGCACTTCAATAACAGGAAGTCATTACATGATTTCTTCTATTTCCTTTCAGCTCCACTCGTTTGCTTTTCAGCAAAAGCTGATTAACATGACAGAGTTACTGAGTCTTTCAGAAGCCCAAGAGCAAACTGCTACGCTAGTTCAAAGTGTTACTTCCACCAGAGCTAGCAGCAACCATAGCTCTGGGAATTGAGGCTTTTGAGATGTTCTGCTTTATAAACCTCATTTATCAAGCAGCAGGAGAGCTGTTACATATGGTGATGGGCATTATGGAAATGCTTAGACTGAATACAAAATGTGAATGTGAATTGGATTAAATTACCTGCAAGGAAGAGAGAAAGGAACTCAGGAGGAAGTAAAAGGAGCCAATCATAGATATGAATCAAACAGGGATGCACAGAAATGTAAGTGTCTACTTATAAATTGTTACCCTTGGGGTTTACTATGAAAAGGTTTCCTGGAATGTCTATGCAGAATTTGAAAATTTTTTAACATAGTCAAATTAGATAACTAAATAACTGCACCTGCCACAATTCTTGTCCATTCAAGATAAAAAAAAAAAATTTTAAAAAAAGGTTAGAGGAGGTTTACAAAAATTCAGACAGCCCTAATAATACAAGGATTAGTTTATGCTAATCCCAATAAATATGGGAAATCAGAGTATGTCTGGGCAAAGAACTTTCCGTTTAGCTGAAGCATAGTTTTGACAATGTGACTGGTTGAGAATAAGAGAAGCACGGTACACTGAGGTAAAACTTTTAAATTTTTTCCTTGGGGCAACCAGTTTCTGTTTTAATAAAATATTTCAAGATTTGCTTAATGTTCCATTATATATTAACTGCTTTATTGATAAAAAATCATTAATTAGAAAAAAACTCATGTTTTGTTTGCTTGCTTTATTTTAAAAAACGGGGAGGGAGGGAGGCACACAAGTCTTCCTATAATGCAGCTCTGCAACTGTATGTCTTAGGAAATAACGAGATGAATTCATGGGCAAAAACATGAGGAAATTACTAATGATTCTACAATGTCCCAACTACTGAAACGATCCCTAATTTTGGTAGGATGATAAGGTTGATATCACAATATGAGGTTGAGGATGAAGAAGAGAGAGAAAAGTCATATGGAAAAGATTCAAATATGCAAAAGTTATAATCCAACACTTGTTTTTACAAAGCTGGATGTTGAGTTTAGTTGGGGCTCTGATACTCTGTCCATGGAAAACGCTTCTGGGAATCACAGGCCTCTTCGCCCTTGGCTATAGCACAAATGAGTCATGGACACACCTAAGCTAGAACCCTAGGCTGCCTGACACACTGGGAAAATATCTGGGCCTGCCTTACCGGGAGTTTCAGTACTGGACACGTCCTTGAAACGCCCTTTCCCCACCACACAGAATTTGGTCACATAAGGGCCGTACTAAGGAGAGAAATGAGAGTACAAGAAAAGCACAGTAGCCTCAGGAGCAACAAAAGCATTTCGAAATGATTAGATGTTCTCAAGGAGGAAAAAAAGAAGAAACCCTTAAAAGCATTGTGGAGTGCTTTATATCACTGCTCAGGTACAGTACGGCTCCTAAAATGTGAATTCATGCACCTTGCAACTGTGCCAGTTAGAGACAAAGTATAAACTATCAGTATAACCTGATACTTGACAATTGGCAGGACAGACCCAAGACTCATGTTCAAATAGAAAAGTCTCGTCCTGTGCCCCGCCTGTATCACCACCTTCCACATTTCCTGCCCCTCTCTTTAATCCTTCATATTGCAAAGTTCTTTGGTCTGGGCAATGATGTCAACTTGAAATCTCAAACCTGCCCAATTGTCCCCAGAAACATCCTCTCTGGGGAGGTGGCCTCCTACCAAGCTCCCCCCTGCCCCTCCCAAATTCCACTGGGTCACCTGGGGGTAACATTGCTGCACGAGGCCCAGCACAGGCCACCTCAAACAGGGTCTGTCTGTCACCGACTTCCCCTCCACACCTTGCAGCTCTCCAGGTTACAGTTCTAAATAAGCACATGTAGAAAACAAGCTCATTCTCTCTTCCCACTCATTAAAAATAAACCCAGTGGTACCCAGATTTGGAACACACCTAACCAATGAAACAGTTAAAGGAAGAGACGGAGGTGCCCACTCCCATAATCTTCCCGTTCAAAGAGGCACTATTCCACAGCTGCTATGGAGTTTATAATTAAGAGACAAGCTTAACCCACAGAAATTTCTGGAATCCATTGTAATTTACACTAGAACCTTGTTGATTCTAAGTTTAGATTACAAGCTGGGCTGAATTCTGTGGTTGAATCGGAAGGCCTTGGCACACCTCTAGCTCAAGTCTCTTGCAAACACAGCCTAGCCTACAGGGAGCGGCTGCAGGCTGACTGCAGGGCTGGCCCAACCCCAAGTACAGGCAGAAGCAGAGCGGCGGCGCCTCACTCCCAGGCCCACGAACCACCCACCATGAGCTCCAAGGAGCTATGCCAGGAGGCTCCATTGGAAGAATGTCAGAACGCACTCAGATGTGTTCACCATGGTGGGTGGCTTCCACAGATCTTTGCCCTTGTTGGACTGCAAGCAGTCTGTTTCCTTCCTCACCTGCCACCCTAGGTGGCATCCTCTCACTCCAGGTTGTAAGGTAAAGGTATCCTGCAATGAGGTGCAATGAGGTATCTTGAGCAAGCAGATCTGCTGGGACGCTGCCTGACTGACAGAAGGCAGATCCCAGGGAAAAGAGACAGGAGGGCAACCCTCCCAGGTTCCAGGCAGCTTTGTGGAGTCTTCTTTAGCATTTGAATCGACTTCATCAAGAGCTACACTAGAACAGGAAGTCTCCTCCTTTTACAGGAAAGAGAACTGAGGTTCTGAAATACAGAATCAGAGAGGGGTAACACTTCCACTAGGTTTGCCTGACTCCAGAGTTCACTCGAACCATCTATCTCTGCAGGAGTAATGGAAAGATCTCCTCCTGGTCCCCAAAATACTCCCTTCAAAGGCTGGCCAGGTTAAATACAAGTCCTTCGAGACCACTGGTATGAAGCGAGCCTTAAATGTCTCTTAAGTCCTGGTGGCATGTTGACATTCCCAAAAAAAGGAGCACGCTGCTGGGCTGTACCTGCCATGAACCCCTCTGGAGGCATCAGTGGTTGCACAAGGGCTCTCACCTGGGGAAACAGCAAGAGCAGGAGCTTCATGTAAGACACACGTGAGTTTTAACAGGAGGAGGGGAAAGAAAACCTTGGTCTTTAATCTTTTCTACATGAAAACCATTTTTAACAGTAAACAACCTTCCTGCCATCTCCATAATAGCTCTATATTATACTTCTGTATTATATTAACTGGTAAAACAATGAAGAGGCTTTACTAACTCAATTTATGAATTGGTGGCACTGTTAACTGAATTTTTATTTTAGTGAACATGATCTACATACATTTGAAGAAGTGTAGCATCGGGTGCATTGTACATATAAAGGTGTACAGATGGACCATGTTACAAATCCCTTCCTTGAAATCCCAAGAGCCCAGGGCCCACAGGTCAGGAACCCCCTGGCTAGAACATCGGGTATTGCTCCAGGCAAGCAGGCCTTCTGGGGTGTCTCAGGGAGGGCTCCCACGAAGGAACCTGAAGGCAAAAATGGGGGGAAAGCCCACATATCATGCTTCACATATTTCATAATTCTGCTTAAGAACAGCCCTGCAGCCCTTTATCCAGTGGTTAACAGAAAAATTAATGATAATAAATTAATACAGTAATGCCTTGGTTTGTGGGAATTCGTTCCAGAAACAAACTACTCATATTGTAAGACATCACTCGTTTACCACGTTAAAATGTAATAGAAATGTTTGCTCGTCTTGCAGAACACTCGCAAACCAAGTTACTCGCAATGCAAGGTTTTAATGTACTGACATTTGGGGAGGGGAACTATGGAACACAGTCACTTGTTTTGGGAGGGAATAAATGTGAATAAAGAGGGAGACAGTGTCACAGAAAAAAATCAGCTCAATCTGACACCAAACTGATTCGCTTAAATGAACACAAAAGAGTAAAACCATCTAGAAGAAACAGCAAGGCTGTTCTTTAATGAACCTTCGGTATCTTGATTTGATTTGGATTGAATAAAAAAAGACAGCAAGTAACAAAGAAAATGGCACATGCCCATGTTAGTATGAAAAAACAGCAAGGTCACAATTTAAGATCCTACCTTAGCATTTCTCGCCAAAAGGAGACTCATTTAAATATCGTCACCACTGCTCCTAATGTAGCTGAAATCCAAGACTGAGAAAGCACCTCACAGATCTATATAACATACACATATACTGAAGGTTCTTTAAACTTAGATTCGTTAAACAGAAAAAGTGGGAAAAAGGAAAATTCAAACCAATGGACTTTAAATACATATAGCACCTGTTATAAATAAAAGACACTAAAACTTAAAGAATCTAACTAGCCCCCTACCTTTCCAGTTCATCGTCTCTCACGCCCATCCATGCACAGTCTCAGCACACTCTTCAACTTCTCCTGAACCAGGACTGCACCATCATACCCATACCTTCCTCACTGGGTACACTCAGGTGTGTGCCATAAGCTTGGTGTTCCTACCACATGCATACATTCACACACACGCGCGCACACACACACGCGCACACACACACACACACACACACACACACACACACACACGTGTGCGCGCACTAAGTCCTACTCATGCTTCCTACTCAACCCGCAAAGGCAGAATGAATTCCCTCTCCCTTATTCCTTCAGCAGCATATTCTCCAACTTACCTCACACATTCTTCCACATGGGTTCCCTGGAGCCACATCATCACTATCGTTCACTTTCTACTCACAACACCAAGCCCAGTACTTAGCCCAAAACGCTTAACAAAAAGCATGTTGCAGAAATAAACAAATGAGTAGACAGTTAGCAGGAAAAATTAGGGGAAAATGCTTCTGATAGCGATTGTATGAGAATTACCTATTCCAAAAATGATCACAATGTCTTAGCATTCAGCTACTGGAGAAAATCTACTTCTCTAACCGGAAACTAACTAGTCAACATCCTCCCCTGGGAACTGATATTACATATGTTGTCTAATAAGATGAAAAAAGAAAAGTCTGGTTTTCCATCAAAAGGTCTACATTAGACACAAAGGTTCCAAACAGAAGGGGATCCCTGCACCATTCGAAGAGCCTCCCTGAAAGATAAACGCTTGATGAGGAAATCTCCCACCAGCGTCCCCGGTTCCTCAGCCTTTCTCACCAGCCATCACTGCCGATGAGCTGCACTCACCTGGTTTGTTTCCTTCCCTCTCGTGGCCCAGCTGCCCCTTGGTATTCAAACCGCAGGTGTAAACCTCCCCATCCTCCAGCAGGAACACAGAGTGGTTGCCTCCGCAGGCCACTTCCTTGACGCTTCTGTCCGATATAAATCCACACACCTGTGGCTCGGCCACAATCCCTCGCAGGTTAGTGCTGATCCCAGGTTGGCCCAGAGACCAATATCCCCAACATAACATTGTTCTTATCCTTCAGGTACTCATGTAGCCTAGAAGAAGGGGAAAGAAAGAAAAGAAAGAAAAGAAAGAAAAGAAAGAAAGAAAGAAAGAAAGAAAGAAAGAAAGAAAGAAAGAAAGAAAGAAAGAAAGAAAGAAAGGAAATAGGTCAGAGAAAAATCACATTAAGGAAATTTAATCAGTTTTTTAAAAATAACCCTCCCCTTAATATTCTTCAGATACATTGCATCTCAAAAGAATACGTATTAATATTGTCGAAAGTAACAAAATCAACAGAAACAAACTCACAGATACAGAGAATAAACTGATGATCGCCAGATGGGGGAGTGGGTAAAAAAGGTGAAAGGGATTAAGAAGTACAAATTGCCAGTTATTAAAAACAGTCATGGGGATATAAAGTACAGCAATAGGGAATATAGTCAATATGTAATAATTAGGTAAGGTTTCAGGTGGGTACTAGACTTAAAAGGGTGATCACTTCATAAGGTATATAAATGTCTAATCACTATGTTGTACACCTGAAAATAATATAATGTTAATTGTATGTCAACTGTAAGTGAAAAATAAATTTTTTTAAAATTTTAAAAGAAAAAGAAAAGTGCAAACATATGTCCACACAAAAACTTGTGCACAAATTTTCATGGCAGAGTTATTCATAATATCAAAAGGTGGACATAATCCAAATGTCCATCAATTGATGAATGGATAACCAAAATGTGGTCTGTCCATACAATTGAATGTTATTTAGCTACCTAAGGTAATGCTCCCTGATTTACTGTTTGAACTCTTTCAGAAAAGGCAAGAAAAGACTCAAAATAAAATATAAAACTAAATCTCAATTAGCTGTCTCAACCAGAAATTTCTACTTGTTTTTCTGTAAGTTAACTTCAAAGGGAAGAAAGATAAAATGAAAAGTGGGGGTGGATATATATTTAAAAAGACCAGTAAGACCACATCATCTTTTCATAATTTAATTTTCCCAATTTTCTAAATTGCTATATACACACTAATACCTTTTTTTCATTTTTAATGTTTAAATGTTTTGTCTTATCTCTCCTACCAGTAATGATGTAAACAACATCATACTGCTTACTACATACCAGTCACTGTGATAAGCATTTTATATCATTATCTCATTTTATCTGCACACCAACCCTGTGCCATAAAAGTACTATTTTTAGCCTCATTTTCAGATAAAGCAAGGTTCAGAGAGGTTAGGAAGCATGCCAAGGACCACACAGCCAGAAGGAGCCAGAACCAGGCTATGAATCTAGTAGGCCTGATGCCAGCATCCACAGTCTTATCCAGTGGGCTACACTGTCGCCCAAGTACATTTATGTCACCTACAGGAACAAGAACACAACAAATACTTGCAGAATGACTAAACCATAGTCAGTATACAATACAGAATGCCCTGCAAGCTTGAAAACAAAATTGCCCTCTGAGAGTAAAACTCATCAGAATTAAAAGATAATAGATGAGATTAGGCAGCTGTGGCATTAAGCCATCCCCTTAACCAGCCAAGTACAATGTGTCTAAAAATATGGTATCAAGAAGCTAAGATGGTACGTCTATACAAACATCTATAAACAGTGCTCAAACGACTTTATTCATACTGAACAAAAATGGCAACGCCAATGTCCATCAACGGGAACATGGATAAACAGATTGCAGTATATTTTTACAACGGAATGCTGCTCATTAAGAAAGGCGGGTGTAGAGGCCATGCTGAAATGTACTTAATGTAATGGAAAGCTGCACCTCAGTGTGGTAGCAACCTTTCTGAAGAACGAAGGTTAGTTTGAAAAAATTACTCAAGGGTGTTATCATTAAATGCTTTTTTGTCTATCTAGGTACCTTTCCCCAAGTCCCTCACTGTCTTGTAATAAACTCTACACCCTCTTGCACAAGGGTGAGCGTGATCCTGGCCAAACCAATTGGAGAACACCCACCCCTAAGCCATAAACATGACCCACATCAAACCAATCAGAGAACGTCCACCCCTAAGCCATAAACATCACCCACACCAAACCAATCAGAGAACACACCCCTAAGCCATTGTGATTGGTGCAGGGATAGGTTCACACTTCCAACTGAGCCAAAGTCCTCCCCCATTAAGTTCCATAGACCTCTGATGAAAGAATGCCTTTTCTGAAGAATAACTGAGCCTACCAGAAGCTACCTTCCCTGCCACATGGAGGGTACTGGTAAGACATTATGAAGCTACCAGCCATAGAGGCTCAAAGACGACAGAAAGGGTCCCAATGATGTCGACTGAGCCATGGATACCCTCTAGAGCCAGCACCACCACCTTCTCTCTTCTTAAGTACAACTGTCGGTCATTATTTAAAGATGCCATACTTGTGAATTTGCCTACTCACTAAAATTTACCTGTAACCCCAAAATCAATGCAGGGAGCATTTCTGCAGTCATTCCCTGTGCAAGCATGTGAAAAATGTGAGTCACTCTATGCACATATTCAGTGCCATGTTTTTCACATTTGTATATTTTTCTGTTGGAAATTTTGCTGTGTAAAATGCCCCCCAAGTATAGAGTTGAAGTACTGTCTATTTAGTAGGCACTAAATTCACCCAGCCACTGGCCTTGCTTAGACTCCATGATTAATAAGCAACCTTAAATAACTTGGTTTCCAAGACAGATGGTACTATGGGGAAAGAACACCGTGACCAGCTGGCCAGAGCACCCCAGGCTTCCTGGCATTTCTACTTCTCATTATTATTTATTAATTATTAGTGTGGCATCCTGGATCTATGAGCTTCTTATAAGTTTGTTTAGCATGAGTCAGTCCTTGAGAGTCAGCTGCACTCTGGGTGCTTTGGCCAACTGCAAGCCTGAGTTAGCATCCTGAAGTATGGCCTCATCGTTTATTGACTATAGAAACCATTTATGAAACAAGACAAACAGGACTATTGCTGAAAATCCTTCTCACCTGAGTTATAGTCATAGAATCTTCAAGTAGTCGAATAAAAACTACTTACTAAGAGAAGTAGCTAAATGGCACCCATAAATAAGCTATCTTCCTATGCATGGATTATTAACCCTAGTAGGAAATCTGGTCCAGGTCATCATGATGCTCTCCAAAACTACAGCAGGAGGCACTAAAATCATCCAGCTTTCAGGAGAGAAGTTCAGTACAATGAAAAGAAGCCAGCCATTAAAACAGCTTTCACTTAAAAGTACACTCTGGTGGAACCCCCAAGTCTAGTAGCTACTGGTGTCCATGAATTTAAACCTAGTTTCAGCAATGTTCTTCATCATTTGACACTGATAATCCGGGTCCTCCCACCCATTTTTCCTCACTCTTTGTCTCTCCCTGGCTTCTAAAAAAGTAAAACCTTTTATTTCCCTTCAAAACACACAATCATGAAAGGTAGTGTAGAAGAATAGGTCCAAGATGGCGGATTAGAATAATATAGTACCTAAAAGAGTAAAAAAAAGAAAAAAACTGCTAAAGGAAGTTCCTCAGGATGATGGGAATTGGTACCAAAGGGAAACTCGTATTCCTTCAGGAACAAATGGAGAATACTGAGAATGCTAAACAACTAAAAAAATTAAAATAATAAAAAAATAAAGGACTGCACTGTGGCTCAGCACCTACACCAGCCACCTCCGCTGTCCCATGTCACCTCAGTCCCCATCCCTTCCAGCTCCCTCCTCTTATTTCACTATCACAAAACAAAAGGAACAAAGACGGATCCCTCAGTCTCACACCTGGTACTTTTCCCAGTCCCTCTACTCATCTATTTTTGGTAAAAGATTCAGGATAATCTTAACAGGGCTTAAGTGTCAAAAGGACTAAAGTTCAGGCCTTGAATTAACCACATGCTAGCTGTGAAACCCTGGGGAAGATATTTAACCACTCTAAGCCTGTTTCCTGGTTCTACAGTGGGGACAAGAGTGACAGGGTTGTGAGGACTATGAACAGAATGAATATAAAGAGTGCTTAGCGTGGTAGCTGGCGTAAGTGACC